TACCAAATACGTTTAAAATACATACTGTTTTTTTAAACTTGAGACTAGCATTTTTATAGTCCATTATGGATATTTCTAACTTCGTAACAGATACTTAATGATAAAGACGATGACACACTGTTCAACTGAAAGACAGCAAACAAGGCTACTCAAACACCATTTCAGTTGAGCACAAATCATGAATTGTTAAAAGTGCACCTACCACATTTTTGGATTTTAACACTGATAAAGCTTCTCATCAATTCGCAGACAGATGTAAGCATGTCAAAAATCAGTTTATTTACAAAACTGCCACATACAAAATGTTTCACAACGCTTTCAGTAAAGCAGATATGCTTTGACTGAAGATTTTTATTTGAATGTGTTTTAGGTAAACAAGGATCATGCACCCAGAAACCTAACTAACTCTCAAGAATTTATTTAATAAATTCAATGCAAAGGTAAACATAGAAGTCAGCCTTTAATTTTAAGCATAGCTATGCCTTCAAGCATAAGACACAAAGTTTCTAAAACGATAACCTTTTTGTTGGTCAATGAACTTTGATGTAAAATATGCACCTACTTTTTTTTATTTTTTAAAAGAGCATATTTTAAATTAAAGGAAATGTCTGAACACCATCTGAAAATTATCAAAAGTCATTAAAAAGTAGTAATATTCCATTGCCTCAACTCCTTTTTGTCTTACAGAAGTTAAACAAGTGGTGGCAGTACTTCAGATAGTTTGCATAAAAGATTCAAATTAGATGTTAAAACTGAACAAGGGAGGTTCATTCTTTCTTTTTCACTCTCAAGGTGTACTGCTAATATGGAAATAGTAATGACAGTGTAGGAACTCTCAATAACATCAAATTCAGAAGTTCCTAAATTGTGCCTACTACGCATCTCACTGTACTGATTTGATTTTGATGCATGGATTAAAAGAATAACCCAAAACGTGTACTAACAGACCACATTAAATACTTGATAAATATACTTTACACTGAAATCTAAAGCAGAAAGAACCTGCATGCATGTTCCTTATACCTATGCTTTCCTGGTAGTGAAAGACTACAGAAATAATAGCACATATTATCACTGCAGTTGCAATAGATTGGCTATATAGGAGAGGGTACTAGTTATTAACATTTCTGAAAAAAAAAAATCTTAAATTCCATGGCAAAAAATTTAGCAGCTTAACAGAAAGAACCCTAACAGAATGTTAGCTCTGTGCAGAAGTTTGCTTAAACCAGTATCAGAGAGAAAATATTCCCGAATCAGTCGTCTTTAATAATATCATACCCCAAGGCCAGAAAAAAAAGTCAGGGATAATTAGTGTAAAAGTAGTGCTGGACACACATTTTAAACTGGTACCGTGATAAATGCCACCTAATACCATTCTTTATTATATTCTCATGCCAATATTCGCAAACTTGCAAAAAGCAAGTGTATTTTTGGAAGAGGAAGCAACTTTTCTAGAAACTAATTCCTAATTATTATTTTATAGCCTCTATAAACAAAGCAATCTACTGAAAGGACAAACTCTATACTTAAAATCCAGTAGCTAGAAACAATAAAGATACAATAATGAGCTTAGGAGAGAGAAACTACACAAACTTTTTTCACACTGAAAATTCAACATAACAAAGAATACATAAAAGTACAATGAAATTAAAAACTGGGGGAGGAGGACAGGAATTTTTTATTATTACTTCCATGACCTGATAACAAAAAGATTTTTACTGGAAAAGTCTACAGTTATAATACAACTCATTAAAGCGTAGCTTTTCATTTACAGGCTTAGCAAACAAACAAAACCAATGCAGTTAAACATATTTTAAATGAGTTTTACTTTTCCAAACCTGTCTGTACATTTCACCAAAATTTTTTTGCCTGGTAGGAAAACTGTGATATTGAGTAGTTCCCTCTGTGTAGGGCTGCCATTCTAGACGAACAGAGCACCATTCCCTTCCTATCTCCATCTCTTACCCAGTTAGTCTGTCTCTTACTCTTTAAAATATTTAAAGACATGACCATGTAAGCACAAATATATGCTACAAGGTACACCAGTGACCTCTGTAAAAAAGGCTAATTGAACAGGTATCTTTGGTAGAATGACACTCTTCTGGGGTAGCTGTAGGCCTATAGTAACTAGAGCTGTGTTATCCAAAATGAAATGTTCCCTCCTAGATCCAACCTACTCACCTAAAGCTAGCAGTGAACACGTGCCATTGCACAGGTTTTTCTTTTGGGAAGTTGTGGGTTTTTTTCCTTTTCAGTCAAACTGTTCAAGAATGCCACTAGTAGTGATGCTACAGTTCCCTCCTTTGAGTTAAATTTACTCTGTGAAACCACTGAAGGAAAATACAACAAAAGCCAAATTTTCATGGTCTACTGGTTGTAACCATTGAGAGGGTTCTAACCTTCTATAGTTTTCATTTTCACCCTGAGCAGGTGCAAACAGAATAAGCAAGTTTGCAACAAGACAGATCTAGAGCACATACGTGAAAATGTACGCAAGTGAACTTACTGTATTGCTGAGTGGTTTTTGGGGGCATCTTCTTGTTTGTGGTTTTTTAGTTTGTTTTGGTTTTAGGCTTTCTGTAGGAGCTACCTGTTACCAAGTAATTAATAAAACTGCAAAACGTAAGCAAGCAAAAGTCGTTTCTCCTCCTCACTATATTTAAACTACTGATATTGTGAGTGAGAAAGCCATAACTGACACACAAAAATGAAATCTGTGTCCAAACAGGCAGAAAATAACAATTTTTCTTAGACCATGACAGTTACCAAGACAAGTTCAAGCTCAAAACTTTGCTATACAAGTATAACTTTCAAAATAGCAGCACCTATTTTTTTCTCTTCTGTGTGTTAAGAATACATGCTGATTACAGAGAGTGCAGCAAGCTATCAATGATGTACGGAAAACTCCTACATTACGCACCATGTATAGACAGTACTATACCATTTCCTATATGCTTGCCAACCACAACCAAATGACCCAGCAGCCCAGAAATCCTCCAACCTCTTCTTTCCATAGCTTTTATTTACTTTTTCTTCCTTCCAGTGAACCACAGGAGGCATGGAGTTAACTGTTTACAAAAATCTCACTGGATGAAACTCCAGAACACTCAGAGTCTATTGATAGTACCAATGAGAAAACTGTCATTGTCCCTTCAATTTTTTAAGGAGAGATACAGAAGTTTGTAAATACGGTCCCTGCTTTTTTAATGCTATAGTTCACTGCTTAGAGATGTCATAGCCATATTTTTAAGTATCTTCTGGTTTGTAGACAAGTTATGACTAGATGTCATATATGTTACTAAATCACATGAGAAAATTTACATAGTTTAAATCAGATACTTGACTGGGACTAACATTTATTGCTTCCTGTCTAAATTTTTAGATACCCCCTGAAAACTTTACATAATGGTCTTATCCACTTATGAGAAGACTTACAGTTGGCCAGAGCTCAGAAACGGATTATCGAGACCTTTTCTCACAGTAAATTCCCCAAAGTCAATCAACTCCTTAAATATAAAAAGCCAGACCCCACTAGAATATAAATTGACACAATGAAATTTCAAACACACAGAAAGTGACTATATGAGACAGAAGAGAAATAAAAGGGATTTTTAATTAGCTCTGACCCTATTGTTGCAGAGGAGTCACTGCTTTTTGGACCTGGGTTCAGTCATCTCCTTGGCTTTCTCAGCTGCTGCAGATTTTGCACAATCTCCTCTGGTCCCTGGGAGCTTTTCTTTGTCACCACTGGGTGACAAATCTCTCCTCAAGCCACAACACAGAAACACCACCTCTCACATTGATATTTCTCAAGATATGGAAAAAAATACATTTTGATCGAGGAGTTCTTTCAGTTCTGATCTGAGAGCAGAAACAAGCTCTGAATTAAGAATGATACTGGAACTGTAGCAGAATTCATTTCCTAGTATGAACAAATTATGTAACTTACTTTTATTTTTTCCCTAAGATCAGGCATATGGCAAATTAAAAATAATTATATACCATCTTTGCTAGCTAGATGAAAGAGGGCATTAGAATTTGCCTTTACTCTTCTGTTCCTCTAAAAAAATAATCAGCCAACATGAATCTAACCCTAGCTCACTAAGGATTAGGTAGATATACATGGCTTGCTTATAAAATAAGACAACTCTGTTTTGCCAAACCTTTAGCAGTACATATCCAACATAAGCTTTTGATTTTATGCCAAAGAGCTAAAATTTTTCAACTTTAATTTTTTATGACTATTTTTTTACTGTAAGACATGTTTTAAATGAAAAATTTCAAAATACAGTATACTACCACGAGCTTTGATGAAAAGTAAATGCAGAATAAATGCAGTTCACAAACTGTATGCAACTGGCATATCATAAGCAGAGAAGCGAATGGAGGAAACACTGCAATTGCTTAGCCTTCTCCCAAATTTTCTCAAAACCAAATTTGCAGGAAGCAATAATTGTTCAGACTAAACCAGTACAATACTATTGTCTCCCTCAAGAAAGTGAAGCTACTTTATTGTAATTTGACTTTTATGACTACATGCACTATAGCTTCCAACCAAACCAGAACATATCTAAGACCAGTGCTTGAAAAAGACTATCAGCTATATGCCCAAACTCTATTGGTGCAAGAAGCTGGTATTCTCCACAGTGCCACCTACAATAAATTAATTATATTTATGGTTTGAAAGATTAAGACAAACATACTTTGTGCAGCAATGTTTTAAATGCCATTTCAAACACAACAGGAACCCTTGTCATATCCTAGAGCCCACAGTTATCTAGAGATAGAGCTATCAAGTTGAAAATCTATGATCACAAAGAGCATGCAGAGTTTCACAGCAGCTTAATGACCAAGAGTAGCTCAATGGTTTTCAGTGAAAATTGTTGGTATATCTTTGCAAAACAAGCTCAATGGTTTTCAGTGAAAATTGTTGGCATATCTTTGCAAAACTACTTTTGCCCACTCAGTTCATAACTAAAAGTTTTTAGAAAGCATCTTACCCTGTCCTCTTGGTGTTCGTTTCCTGCGATCTCTGAATGCTGCTCCTGACTGCAAGGCCTCAAGCAGACTATCCATCACTCCCGTCTCATCACCCTCTGAGAACAGGAGAAAAATAATATTAATCTCAGTGCAATTGAAATCAGACTTTAGAAAGAAAAAAAGTAAAAGTGTTGTCAAGTTTGCATAACGCTTCCAAATAAGAGACATACACATTTTAACGTAATGGATGCTGTCAGTGCTTCAGGTATCACTGTCTAGTTTGTGTATGATGCTCTATTAAGCAAAATTGATGCCGATCCTACTGTTCTTTCAACTTAGAGATGTTATCTTGTGCATTATTGATGACATCTTCAGCATGCAGATAGACAGCTGCTGGTGAATGACTGCTGTTTCACTGTTAAATTCTTTTAAGACTTTCCTGAAGTAGAAACAGGTCATCTCTTTTTGATTTAATCAACGCACATGGAAAATCTGATGAAACTGAATGGCACAAAGTTAAATATTGTAGTACTGCAAATATTTTATATGTTGCCTCCCGTCATTACAATGCATTAAATCCTTGGAAAAAAAATATCTATACAACATGCAAGGATACATACGCCATATGCTACACATGTAACAGTATACCATGAATGATCTTAAGGTAAGGTAAAGTAAGGTAAGGAAAGGAAAGAACAAAGAGGGGAGAATCATGCCGTGAAAGTAAGTGGCATAACATTTCTTAAAAGCTGAATTCTACTGCTGCTAAATCTTTCTCTTGTTTTTTTCATATCCAAGCTAACCTGTAGCCTTTAAATTGCTGGACTTTATGGTGCATTATGGAAATCTGGGTAGAAAGATTACTTCTTTTTTATGTATTTAAGTCTTTAACTTCCTTTGCATTTCAGTCTGTTAATAACAGTTGATAGCAGCATTCAACAGCACGAGAAATAGAAGTCAAAAAACTGCAATGTTACAAAACTATTGATGAATGCCTCTTTTTCTGTTCACATGTCCATGTTATAACCCAAAACTAAAATACAGACTAGACTCAGCAGGTAGGTGGACATTTTATTCACATCTCTCAGACTTCAAGTTAATGTAAATTTCCCCATCACAGAGTGGGTAGATAATTACTTTATGCAAAAGATTTATATTACAGTAAAACACTTATGACTCACACAAAGTGTCAGAGGTTAAAAGCACATTCAAGCTCTCAAATGTTCAAGTTTAAAAGCAGCTTATTTATGCAAAAGGTATTCTGCCCTGGTTCTCTATTACATTTAGAGTTATTAGACTAAATCCAGACCTGATATAAGAGCACGCCAATCCTAAAACAGTATCTGGTTCAAATTTCTACATGATGATTATCAGTGTAACTACTTGATAAATTTAAATTATACATCAACGTAATTTAAACCATTATGTATAATATACAGCACATACATAAAGTTCTCTCCAGTGTAAGATGAAAGGGAGCAGAGCAAGAGTAGCAACCAGCAGAAGACCCTGAAATACCAGTTTTAATTACATTCCATCTAAACCCCTTAAAAAACCTAAGCTCCTGCAAAATATGTAAGTAAATTAGCTTCTCTCAATTCACGCTCAAATATACAAGGCCAGAATCTTGTCTAAAGCACACAACGTAATTATTTTTCTTTGTGCTCCTTATCCTACACATGCTTATTCATTGATTTATTGTTGGCTCTGTATTAAATTTATTTTCTAAATCAAAGCTCTGTGAATACACTTTGTCCAAACTAATACACACCAAGTTTGTCTGAAACATTTAATGAATGTGACTGTAATACATAAAATTAGTTAATACATTAGAATATTTTATGCATAGAAAAATTACAATATCATTCGATCTTCATTAAAAATAAGAGTTGACAGTTTATTCAAAAAGACAAAAATCCTTCAATTCTTCATAAATGTTTATGCAGTCTTCCACTTCTTTTTTGCTGAGCGTGCTGCTCTACCTGCTAATTACTGCAACTGCTAAAACCCACTATTTTTGGAATACCAAAATATACAATATAAAGACACATGAAATAAGGAAGATGTAGAACACAGTGATGAGATTGTTAACTCCTCAAAGTAAAATTTATGCTAGGTCTGATCTCAGCACTGCATCTTAATCAAAGTCGTCAGGTGATTAAGTGGGAACTGGACAAAGAACTGCATTTTCAGTTAGCCTTCATTAAAATTCATAAATAAAATTCCACAGAAATTTCAGCCTTTCCCCACAGTTCTTGCTGAGGTACTTCACATATTACCAGCTATCTCCTTGATTTGCCCTTTTTTTTTTTTTTTTCCTTTTTTTTTTTTTTTTTTAATACTACCTACAGCAACTTGTAGAAACAAATCAGAAAGACAAAAACTACCAGAAGTTTCTAAACTGAGAAACTTATTTCCAACAGAAATTGTCAGTGGAAATAAAATACATAAATCTTATTTCTCCTTCAGATATATTCCATTGTACACAAGGACAGGAGTTTCACTTGGAACAAGCAATTTTCTTCCTCATTCTTTCTTTTCCAAGTTGGTCCCAAGCATTAAAGAGACAGCAAATGTATGCATGCATGCAAAAAAATCTGCAAGCTGTTTCCATCTTATGACTGGCTCTATAAGGCTTTGATTAGCCTTAGCAAAGAGCCAGGTTCACTATAGGTATTAAACAGAACTGAAAAGGCAAAAAAATTCTTAATCATTATTTGATATGTTAACTGCAAGCCCGATTTGTTTTCACTTGCATTTCACACTAATATTCTATTGCAGACTTGGTTTAGCACATACAGTCTGTTTTGAAAATGGGCGCATTTTTAGGAGGTTACAGTAAGACTCGTCCTCTCGCAGGTCCCACAATTTAGACCAGTGTTAGTCAACAGATTTTGGCCACTTTCAGTGAAAATCATGAAGACAAAAAGAACTTTCTTCTTCCATAGAACAATATTATTGCTTCTTACACTGCTGAAGAGCCCCAAGCAAGCTGAGAGGCACAGACAGAGAAAAAAGATATGATAATGAACAAATAAAGTCACATCTGAGATGAGCCGGCAATCTTAACATCAAGATACCTAAACTTTTCATAATTTTTGACCAGTTAGAGGAAACAGAACAGAAGAAGGGAAAAAGAAGAAGGAATTAGAGTAGGCCATAACATGGAATTATGTACAAAAAAGACTGTCATAAGCTCCATCCACTTATGAATGGTGAGGAATAGTCATATCGTGCATCTATAAACAAATTTGCTGTGTATAAAAGCAATATTCTGGATTTTACGTTTGCTTTTATAAATAACAACAGGCTTTAGATGAACTGGTCATAATAAGCATTTAGTATTTGTGGTCAGATTTTTATGTTAAATGACATTCTAAACATTAGTACTCTGGAACTAGTCTGCCAATTTCAAAAAAGGAGATATTTGATAAACCAAAGGAAGTTAAATCAGAAACTGAAGATTTGGATGTACAAAAGGGTGGGGGTGAGGGGTGAAAGTATTACAACAGGACAGTGACTATTGCAAGAGATGTATAATAATCCCAACACAGTCAAACTGAGTGAACTTTTCACTTCAATATTAATGCACATAAATAGTACTACCCCTTGGAACAAAGACAAGATAGATAAATGACCATGGATGAGTAATGCCAAAACAGCTAATATAACGTTCTCTCCACTGATGTGGAAGCAAATTGCAAATCTCTATGAAATTAGTGTGCCATTTGAAGTGAAGAAATACCTATTATTATTATTATTATTATGGAGAGAAGTATGATAGTCTTCACCTGGCAGTATGAAAGGCCTTTTGAACAAATTTTGAAGATATCAGAACACAAGATTATGAGATTATGGTTCTGCCAAAGATATTAGACTAAACTTATGGTTTCTGTTAATGCACTATACTGCATTTCATTTGATTAGAAAAGTTCTCTCTCTCATTTATCTGGTGTTCAACATTTGATATAATGGCTGCTTAATTCATTAGTGGAAGGGGGAAAAGATGGTCATTAGTAAAATATCTGGCTAAGTAACAACAAAAGGTTGTTTATAGATAGGAAGCTTTAACATTTGAGAGCTTATCAGTTGAATTTTTCTGAAAACCTAATTAGTGGATTTGCCATAACAACAGATGACATACAAATCGGAAATACTACCATTTTGGAAGATAAGATCAGAACATGCATAAGATTTTGAATAATAAAATAAGTGAAAATAATAGAAATATAACAAGTTTGTATAACTTCAGGTGCAAGCCAGGAGGTCTTCATCAGGGAATGACCAAGAGCTCCAATATAAAGATGAATTACCAATATTGATCAGCATGTTAAAAAGTCAGCATACTCTATTTCCAGTAGTAATGGTATACAAGCTTGATTACAGAAGACAAATCACAACTAGAAAAACCTTTACAATAACCAGGGGAGTGGATCATAACAAGAAATGCCTCAGGCAGCACGATTTCTTTAGACTGCATAAAGCAGCCACTGAAAAGAGGTATGACGACCTCCTTCTGTGCTTAGAATCTGTAAAGTCCCAAGAGAGAAAATTCATCCCAGCAGATAACTTCCTCAAGAGAGGGCTGTTTTGGTACAGCAGCAAACAGGAAAATATTTAGGCTGAGTTAGTAGAAGTATCTCTGCAATCAAAAATGATGTTTTAGAACATATTCCTAAACAAGACTGTGGGAAGAAAGAAGTCTAGAGATTTTAAGGATGAAGCAAAAAATTCTGAAAGGAATTATATGATATAGCACAGGCAATAGCAGGAGCATAAGTCACATGATCTTTTCAATCCACTGTACCTAGAGCATCAATCTGCAACTCCTTATTGATGGTGTACCTTTAAAAAGGGTACGTGACGAAATGGGGAGTGAGAGTGCAAGAAACCAATTATTGGCACTTATGTTGCTGCGTAAGTTACAGTGTGAAGAACACAACTCCTGGCTATCTGTAGGCGTGAACTAAGCCCTTACTTTTGAGCAAGCGTTTTTATTTTCAATTGTCTTCTAGTGCAGATATGACCTTTATATTTACGAGGAAAACTGTCCTTCCAAATAATAATTGTTTGTTTAGAATATTTATCAAGAAAAAATATATTAGAAAGTGTACAA